TCTTTCCATACCAGGCCTTTTGCATGTGAAGTCAGTGCTCGCAGGCTTTTAAGTGAAAACAGAGGTTTATTTCCAGTTTTCTATCATGAGCATTTTACAAATCTTCTGTTGCGGTCTAAAGATCAGGATTTAGGAAACAACGATATTTGATAATAGAGGGGTTTGGATCTGGTGTTTTTATTGGTCAGGGTAAACTCCGAACGCCCTAATGCCGAGCTTACAGTGGAAGTTACACATGGAAAGTTTGTGCATTCATAACGTGCTAATAACAATGTCAGAGTATTGTCTGTTGCAGCAGGCGAAAGAACCTGAACTGCATGAATTAGGGCTTTGTTTCCCCAAACACCTAGGCATTGTGTAGACAGGAAAGTTTCCCCCTTCTACCAAAATAGCCCTCTTCCTTACCACACGTAGGCACTCTTATACCAGTTCAAGACCTTCCCAAGTAAAGACAGTTTTATTCAGGAATGAGAATCTCGAGGAATTACCTTGCAGTAAATGTAGTGTGGGTTATGCAGATCCTTTCACCTTGCTTTCTTCCAGTTGTCGCGTGTGAGCTAGAGAGGTTACTCCTGTCCCAGCTGCTTGTTCAAGATCTTTTGCTGGGTGATGACATTCCCTTAGCTCTGCCACATAGCTGACTTAGATGATACTCCCCTTCCTGTTTCACTCCAAGTGAGCTGCTGGCTGTAGCTGCATTGAGGGCATCTTCAGACATGTCAGCATTATCTAGTTAAGGTACCTAACATGGATGTACTAATGATGACCGGAGTAGTGCAGTGGTGATGTTAGTGTTGACTTCTCAGCCTAACATGCATGATGTTTGGAAGAAACTGACAACTAAAAAGGCTCGTGGCTGGAACATCAGTGCAGATGTAACTGTAGAAGTGGGAGCTGGGAATAATTACTGATACAGTGCATATATTGCTCTGCAGCAGTCCTGCACCACCCGTGACCTGTGGCAGAAGTGATGGCAGACACTGCAGAAAGGTTCTGCAGTGGAGATGGGTGGGAGGGCTGGCTGAGCAGAGAGCCAGCAGGTGGGTGTGCTGCACACAGCCTCACCAAACTGGGCCGGGCATCTCCATTGTGCTCTGCAGCACCATGGCTTCTGGGACCCAGAGTCCTGCTTCATGCCGGTGGGCTTCTGGATGCTCAGAGACATAAGCTAGAGCAGCTCGCCCTAATAATTTTCAGCATTACTTCCCACGGCATCTGAAGTCACGTTTACAAAGATGTGTGTGTAGAGCTGCTAGTCCTCAACTGTTGGTGCCAGAGGAAAATTCACGTGCTGACTTCAGAGTGACTACTGATGAAGAATGCATCAACTTCATGGAAATGGGATGTAAAACATCTTTAGAAGGGCAACTTCTCTGTATGCTCAGAACCAGGCCCAATGCACCTTAGGTTTAAGGTAACAGCAGTCATAAGTTCTTGAAAATGAAGACCCTTTTCCCCTCTCTTTCCCCTTTTTTATTGTTGCACGTATGTGTTGCCATGTCGTTAGGATTTCTTTTTTTACTCCTAACTGATGGTGCTGTATTATTTGAATAGTAATTATTTTCAGTTTTATATATAGCTGTTTGTCAGTTTATTGAAACGAACTGCCATCCCGGCACCCCATCAAAGCAAAAAGCATGAAGTCCCACGTGTTGTACTTTGAGAGCATCAACAATGAAGCTAACCTTTCACCCTTGACTTTCTTTTAACCCTAATTTTGAAAGACAGTAGCAAACAGTTCAGCTAACTTCTTCAGTGAGACAATATTCAAACTAGCTCGATTGTAATGCAGTGTCCTTTTCAAGTGAATGGAAGATCTCGGAGTAATGCATACAAATACAGAGGCTGGGTAAGTTCATTACTTTGGAGCTTCTGGTGTGGCAATAGCAATGAAATGGTTAAAAGGTTGGCTTTAAAGTGGTCACAATTAGGCTTCAAAGTTAACACCCCACCCCACTGAGATGAATGGGAGCAGTTGACATTTCTTAGTGCTATTGTTTCAGTCTGGCTTGCTATAGCTTCTAAAATAAGACAACAGTACATCTGTTTACATTCTGCTTCCGCAAACCCAGATGGGCTAGACACTTCATTGTTTTTTAAGTGGAAGCTTAGATTCTGGAGAATACAGCAATATCCACGGGGTATCTGTAGGAAGAAGAGCTGAAAGCCGCCTTAATCACAGATGTCTCCCCCTTCCCTGTAAAATTCTATTGTCCCAGGACAAATCGGTAAACCACTGGGGGGGAAAAATAAAGTAATGTGTATTTGAAGTACTTTTTTACTTACTACATGACACGCACACAATAACTTCTCAGCAAGTCCCTAGCGTGCAAATTTTCATAAATGGATGTGGGGTTTTGAACTTTTTCTCTTTTAGTAAGTAGCGTGTGCTGTAAAAAAAGGTAAAGATCCCGCTTGTACTGAATACGGTAGCTTCTCTTAACGTCTCCTAACAGAAAAACCTGCCGCCTTTAGAGAAGCCAGAGTTTCACCCAGGAGCATTTGAGACCAGGTTTCACTTTCTGTGTTCACATGAGTAGAATCCTTTAATTTACCTCTGAGAGTGATATATGAAGAAATAAGATTCTTGAGAGGTATGTCTTGCATTTTTCTGATACTTTAATAGGGCAGCTACCTTAACTGCAGTAAGATCTTAGGAGCTGGAGTGGATTAATAAAGGTGCAAGTAGGGCCAGAATTTGTAGCAGATGGTCTCTATTACCCCATGCCTCAGTTTGTGTAGGCAGTACACAGTGTCCTCTCTGACTTTTGTTGAGGGTCTGCACAGTGGCAAACTGCCCTCAGTAGCAGCCAGAACCCTATGAGAGCTTCTCTGATAAAGGCGGCCTATTAGATATGCTTAGGCTGTAGATTGAAACCAGCTGTGAATCTGTCGGAAAGATTTTCCTCATTGTGCTTTCATCAGGGTGGAAAGTTTGTGGCTTGTTCTGCATATATATGTATTTTGGGCTTCATTGCTCTGACTTTGCAAGTCCTAGAGTCTGCCAGTGATAAGAGCTCTCATGCATACAGGCTCCTTTTGTACGCTGGCACCCAGAAACCCTGCCTGCCTTTTGCCCGTAGACAACACAGCTTGTGCTTCGGAAGTGACATTGTGGGCTCTCCCAAATGGTGTCTCCCAGATTTCAACCCCTGGTGAATTGTATGGTGAAGGCAAGCGTGCCATCTGTGATTTGGGCTGGTGAAGCTCGTTTCCTGCCCAGCTTCAAGCAGCATTTTCATCTGAGTATGAAATAAGGTGGCCCTGAGCCTAGACAGGCCTCCAGGTCGTCTGAGACAACTGTGGGCATTTCAAGAGTGTAAGCTGTCTCCTCTTGTCCTTCTCTTGAGTTCCTGTGTTAAGTGGGAGAGTGCAGCAATCTGCTCTATATGAAGAAAATACCTGAGAAAACCCAAGAGAAATATTTATTTTGAAAGCTTCTCTCATGAGTTTGTTTTATCTTTCTATTTAAAAAAAATTGCTTTAAAAATAAAATAATGTTAAATCATGCTGGAGAAAAGCAATTCCAATGTGATAGATCTCCTACAGTGTGCAGCAAGAACCACTCAATACAGCTACAGGAGGAAGGGCATATTATGTAATCAGAGGGTTAGAGAACAACATCAAATATGCATTTGTTATATTTGCTTCCACTTTCCATTTCCCTAGTCCATTTCTGACTGTGAATTTCTGTAGTATTACATAGACATAAGTTATGTCTTGTGTATCTTGTGGAAGAAAATAGCTATCATATTAGACCTTTCAAATATAGTCAAAATGACTTCTGCAAGGCTATAGTAGGTCAGTGGCAGAGCTTGGAAGAGAAGTTAGGAGACGTGTTGGCCAGTTCTGTATGTTTTAACTAGCAAACTGACCTGCTTCCCTGTATTAGAATAGTGTTGTGATACCTACACGTTCAGAGGCCTAAGCTTTGTATGCTCCCCTAACACGGAGAATTTCCTGAAGAGACCTGAAGAAAATATTACTGTAGCTTCTCTACCACTTGTGCCCTAACCTGCTTTTTGCCTCATATTCAGAAGTGATTTTGAGAACAGATTTATCTTTTAGGGATTATGAAATATCAGGGATTCAAAGGGACAGATCCAGACAGGGCAGGAATCTGCCATCATGATGACATTATAATGCACCTTCTGAAAAATTAACGTTATGAGAAAAAAAACCCCACCTTCTAATTTTTTAACATTATATTGTTTTATTTTTCTTTCAGAAAAGAAAATGGAGCCTTCCATTTTAAGGCTATTTAATTTTGAGTAAATTCTGCATTTCCTTTTTGTGGTGTATTTCTTCAGTGAATTTATAGTTTATGTGCCTACTGCTCCCAGTCTCTTTGCTGGTCTGAGCTTGCTTGCCAACTGGTATTTACCACTAAGCAGCAGAATCCTGGTTCTCTTTGAGCAGCTTGGTACATTATGGCAGTCATTTTCCCATAGAAGAGGATGAGGGGTGCAGACGGTCACTCCTGTAGCTCTCATGAGAAATGCCATAGGAAAAGAGCCAAGCAAATTAAAACAAGATTTTCCAGTTCATGAATACTAAAAATTGGAATTTCTTCCAAAAAATAACACCAAAGTTTTATTTCTTATTGAAAACTCTTTTTTAAAAAAAATTGAAAAACAAGTGATGTTTACTTATTCATCCCAGGTTAGGAAAAAAATGTTGAATACCAATATATTTTATAGGATTAGATTGTCATCTTTTTTTTCAGCTCTAATTATGATAATGATGTACAAGGTTTTTTTTTTTTTCTTTCTTTCTTTCTCTCCTTCCTTTTTCCACCCCAGACAATGAAAATAATTTAATCTAACAGCTTTTACATTGTGGTCTCTGGACCAGAGCTGGCTTGTAAAACTTTTTCTTTCAGTGGTTTTATTGTTCAATAACTGATCCTTCCTGTTACTTCTGGCCATGGGTTTTGATTTTGTGAATGAGTATGCTTAGACAAAAGAAGAGTACTAACCTAGTATGTACCTTTTGTACAGCTTTACATTCTCATTAAATCAAAAATGATACCAGAACTGCAGAAGTAACAACTCATCTGAAAGATGGAGTCAACTGGAAAAAAGGAGAAATGGCAGCAGTCAATAAGAGAAATCTGGGTCTTCTTCACTTCAGGCATTCAGTAAGGAAGAGGAGACAGCACAGGTAAAACATAGCACAGAGTATTGCTCTGATTACACATATTTTAAACTTGATGGCATAAGAACTGTGTTTTGGGTTGCTTTTCAAGGAACAGAAAATCAATGGGGTTCTGGTTCATGACAGGACTAACAAACCAAGTAGTGATCAATTAAGATTTAAATAGATAAGGGAGAGCTATATGATCTCAACTGCTACATCATGCTGAGTTTTTGTTTCCATATTGCCTGTTGTGATTTTATTGTTCTAATGCTTAATTTTTGTGTAGTTGAACGTTGTTGTGTATACGTGACTAGATTCACTCCCCACTGGGATATAGGCCAAGATTTTCAAAGTGGTTGTTTATTTTGAGCGCCTCCATTTTTAAGGGTCCAAACCTGAGAAATTTGAGAGTAGGGTGCCTTGAAAGGAATGCAGAGCATGCATCTTCTAAAACTCAGTTGTCTGTCTGGTGTGTCAATATCGCACAGAAAAAATGAAAGAAGAAAAAAGAATGCAGTAAAAATCCTTGTTTGCTCTTCATCATTTCAGTGTCTGATCTTTGGTTTGCTGAATCGAGGTGAGCAGATTTGGGTACTGCTGTGCTGGAACCTGGAACACGTTACCTTGCTGTGGTCCAGGCTAAAGGAAGCAAAGCTGACCAGTGTGACAGCACTCTGACTCTGCACTTCTTTTCTGTAACCTCCTAATTACTCTAGGGCTTTATCTAAGATTTAGATGTGGTCTTCTGCTAAGATGGTGGTGAGATCAGTGCTGACTGTACCATATGTGGAATATCTACAGAATATATATTATAATGTATATCTAACCTTTGTCTGCCATCTTTCTGTCCATTGTGTGGGTGAATCTAGCCAATGCAGGGGTAGCAGGAGGACAGGGTTTTTAAAAGGTCAGCATGAGCATGGGTGCTGTCAGGATAGTGGGCTTAGAGTTAACTTTTCCCTCAAATGCTTTCTTGCTAATACAGAGCAGTACTGTTTGGGTTGCAGAAGAAACTTCATTTAAAAGAAATACTGGTGTTGGAAAAAAAAAAACCCAACACAAGTCCTGGAAGCATTTCTATAGGTTTTAGCTTTTTGAATGCCTATTTTTAGGACTAGATGTCAGCTGACATAGCTCCTTTAAAAATGCACTTTGGATTCAAGGAAAGAAAATAATGAAGTGTAAGCTGTGAAGTCTTAATTGTTAGAAGTGCAACAATAGCTTAAAAACAGGCTGCAAAGCCTGCTCTCACAGCTGGAGGAAGGGACACTTTATTAATAGTTGCAAGGAACGGGTGGATAGGGCCTGAAAGAGGCAGCGGGGGATATAAAAAGAAGCCTTGTAACATGAAACCATTGCCAAAACCCCTTACTGAACAATTTATGAAAGAGCCTGCATCACATAAGCATCAAGATAATACATGATGAACATGAAGTAACAGCCTCTGACTGATATGCCTCACTGAAAGTTAAGGTGCATCAGTGCTGCACTCCAGCTCTTGCTGTGGTAGTTTGGCTGGCTGGAGATGAGCACATGTGGCTTGCTAGTCAACAGCCTCTCTTTTCATGACTCCAAGTTTCTGGCTGGTAAGCCACAGATGTTGGTTGTGGTGACTGGAGAGGGCACTTGCTGAATAACCATCACACTTCAGTATTTTATAATCTGGTAAGTCCCCCATACCTCCTTGCAACTGATAGCCAAACTGCTCTGCTAGTTTGACCTGGGACAAGTAACTCTAAACACTCATTTCCTGGGGGAGGTGGCAGGGAATATCGCTCTCTACAGAGATTTCATGTAACTGCAATCCCCCCAAATTAAATCCCCAATTTAAGCACAACTGCATATTTTCTGTGGCCAGGAGCTGACTGCATAGGAGATAAGGGCACTGCAAAATCCCCCTCATCACTCCAACCCCAGCTGCAGGGCCTCTGTGCTCCCAGACCACCTGGGTGCCCAGCAATGCAGCGTCCCATGTTACACTGTGACTGGTTGTTTATGACAGATCCAGACTACTGCGATTATCCAGTTATTCTTTAAAATAAGTCCTTAGGTAACTGCCAATAACCCCCAGAGGTTGGGAAAGCCTTGGGAGCAGAAGGGCTGCAGTGCTAGGGAAGTTTTGATTTCATTTGAAAGCATATATCCATAAAATCATTTCAGTACAGACTCCCCGTCTCGTGCTGTGCTGACTCTGTGTGAGATCTAACATTGTTCTCCATTCTTTAATCACGAGCACTCTGGAGGGGGGAGGGAGAGGAAATATAAGCAAAAATCTGAGCCTGATTTTTACCATCGTACAGATTTAATCCAAGTTGCCTGTGCCAATCATAATCCCTCCTTTCAGGTTTGTCCTTTCCATGTGGGTCAATGGCAACTCAATGCCTGATGCATCAAATCCAGAAACTTGCTGAGACTGTCAGTATCCCTGGCAGCATCACACGATGCAGATGACACTTATTTTGACTGTGGTACGTGGCAAATGTATTCTCAGGGCCAGTCTTTGCTGTGGGCGTGATACCAGTGTGGCTTCCCTTCTTCTCTACTGCTCCCCTCTGTTGTAGGTGTGTTGCACCAATAGGAAGCGTTGTTTGTGTTCACCTTAGTTTTAACCATGTTATTGGGTTGGTTGGTTTGTTGTTTTGCTTTTCCTAAAAGGATGTTTTCCTTTTTCACCAGTGATCTTAGCCAGCTTCACTGGAGTTAATGGGATTCTCTGCTCCTGCTACTCTGCAGCAATGTCCTTTCTAAAATACTTTGTTTTCTTTCTGTGTGCTGTGCAAAGCAGGTATACCCTTTAATAACTACTGTTCGTTTGCAAGGGGAATTCACAAGGTAGGTATTTCCTTGTGGCTTTTCCTGCACAACATTTTTTCTCCATCCTTATTGCCTTCTCTGGGTAGCACCAGTAACAGGAGCAGCAGAGCTGCCAGATGAGCTGTCATGTTGTTCAGGTTTGCTTTGGGTGGCATAAGCAATTGCCTAGTTAGAAGACCAGCCTGTGTTCATGTTGGTATTTCTGTGGTTATAAGTGAAGTAAAAATGTGAAGGTAGATGTTGCTTGTGGCACTGCTGAGAACTGGTGTTGCTAACATGGGAGAGGAATTGCATTTCCGTGAGATGTTTGGGATTTTTTACTTTTCCTATACAGTGCAAGAGAAATGTTTAAGGGGCTACCCTTTTATATACTGTGTAGGAACTTGTCCAGCCTAATCATAAAAAGAGGGTGATTGCAACTGCATTCATTAATAACTTCCAGGCTGAGAATCCATTATGGTAGACTTTGTAGAACATGATCAGAAGGAAAGACAGAGACAAATGCTCTTTGTTGCAACCACTGATAAGTTGTATACCCACGGTTTTCTTATCAAAGCCATGCTGGTGTGTGACAGAAGGAGGAAGAACACTCCTCATGCTGTCCAAAGGGAGTTTATATTTATTATTTCTGTTGGCACAGCCTGAACTCTGGTCAGATTGGCTCCCTCTGCTCAGGTATGCTTTTGGTGAGAAGGGGCTCCCTTTATTTCATACATTCTACCCATGAATGCTAAATCATGGTTTGAGTCCATGTTTCAGCTGTTCCATACAGAAATATGTCCACCAGAATTTCCAGTTTGGTCCCAGGGACTTCTTCCTTACAGTTTTCTAAATGATGAAAAGTTGATGTTAGAAATGCTGTTAGCTGTGCATCTGATCCACAGAAAATATCACTTACATTAAAGGAAATAATTCAACCTTCTTTGGGTTTTTTTTTGGTTTTTTTTTGGTTTTTTTGCTTGGTTTGGTTTCAAAGTGTGTTGAGCATCCTAGCTATACCAGAACATGTTAATTGCTGCTGTACTGTTATATTCCAGGAGAAACACATTCTTTCAGGACTTACTCCTTATTTATTAGACTAGGAAAAAAAAAAAGATATCACATGAGGCTGAAATTGTAGCCCATCTGTTGGGAGACTTCTTGCTGCTATAGGAGAGGCATGGTGATGTCATGCTTCTTAAAACAGCAGGACTACTGCTTCCAGTGATTGAGGCACATTCCCAGTGTGCCCTAGGTTTTTTGAGGTAGGCAACTCTGAAAGTAAGGTTATGTCCCTGCCTTTCCCTTACTAGTCTTTTTACTACTTTTAGGCATCAGTTGCCTTCATGGGTCTTTTTTATGGTTATAGTTACTAAAAAATGCAACTGGTTTGGGTTCCTCACCTAAATAGCTTGACTGAGAACCTATGTTATTTGCCATTCTCCCCCTTCTTCAAAGCGAGACTACGAATAATGAAAACTTGCAAGCTACTTGTTTAATACACTATTTTTTTGAGATTTTTTTCTTCTCCCTCTCGACATTGCAACCTGTGCAGCATCCTTGTACTTTATTTCTTTAAACATTATTCAGAGTAAAAAATAATTTTTCTCCTTACTTGGACTTTGAACCCTTTGAAGTGAAATCAAGTGAGTTTGCCTGTACTCAGCTAGTTAGGATGTTAAGATCTTCTACTGTTTTTCTGTGTAGGAAGTGCCATAGCTGGTTAAAATAGATTTCATCTTTTGACTAATCCTCTAGATCAGCAGATTAATTTGTGATTTTTGATCTACAGCAGTATCACAAAGTTGTAAGGTATCACTGTGTCGTGGTTTAACCCCAGCCAGCAACTAAGCACCACACAGCCGCTCACTCACTCCCCCCCCCCCCCCGGGGGGGGGGGGGGGAAAAGGGGGAAAGAACGG